GCAAAGAGAGAGCGAGAGGAGGAGAGGGGGGGGGGGAGCTAGGGCGTCCCGGCGGCGTGGCTGCCCCAGCGGAGCACTCCGCTTATGGAGGCAGGCAGTCCAAGCTGGCCGCCGCGAAGCCCCGCCCCGCTCCCGCTCGCTCCCTAACTTTAGAATCCTCTCAAAGTAGCAGTATTTTCGCAGTGACATTGTAACTGGGGCTTGAGCCTCGCTTGCGCTCAACGGCCGCCGCCGCCATGCTAGGCCCCCTGCTTCCGTTGTTGCTGCTGCTGCCGCCGCTGTGCCCGGCCGACCAGCCCCACGCCCAGGGTGCCCAGGGGTACCACAATTACCGGGTGACTCTACGCATTGCAGACGCCGAGCCCCTCAGAGACCTCCCCGCATTCTGGTCCAGCACGGGCTTCAGGTAGGGAAGGTCGTTGTTTTCCTCTTCCTCCCCCGCACTCTCTCATCCCAGCCATCCTTATCTTCCCCTCGCTCTTAACCTTTTCCCAGCACTGTAACAAAACAATTTCTTAAAATGATGATATCATGGCTATTTCTATTTTTGTTTACAACCATTACCCTGCGGATTTTATCGTCATCTCCATAATCTGGTTGTAAAAAAAAAAATATTTTTCCATTTTAACGACTGTTTTTTTTTTTTTAGACAGTAAGTAGTGTATAACCGCATCTCCCTCAGTTTTCCTATTTTTTCTCCCCAGCGCCCCCAGCGCGAGGGAGGCAGAGGCGTATCTGTTATCCGAGGAGATGGAGTGGAACTTGGCGTACATCGGGGCCTCGCCGCGCGCCGCCGTGCGCCTCGTGCGCGCGCACTGGCTGCTGCAGCTCGTCCGCGCCGCGCCAGAGAGCATCAGGTATTCCGCCCCAAAATGGCTCCCACGCGGCGGACGTCTTCTCTCGGGGCCCGAGGTTTATTCGAACGCCGGAGGCAAACTTCTCTAATAATAGAAGCAGAGATGAGGTCCTCCATGTACGCCGTGCGCTGCTTCTCACCGCATTCCTTTCGCCCCGTCGTCCTGGCCCTCGGCTATTAATTGCTTGGCAAAGAATGGAATTTAACTGGCATCATAAGGTCAAATGAGAAGATTCTTTCGCCCCCAACAAAACACGCCACACACAAAAAAGACAAATAAAATAAATAAAAATGCAGACTTCGTGGCGGGTCCAAGCAGGTGGAAGGCGGGGAGCGACTGAACCACACCCAGAAAATATCTTTAAGTATCCTTAAACCAAGGAATCTTCTTAAAAAAAAAAATACAAGGTAATATTTGCCCTTGGTTTAAGGTTTTTCCATTAATTTCAAGGAAATTAAGTTGATCTAAGGAAATTTTTACTTTATTTTCACGTCATTTGCCTAAAGACAATTTTCCTATTTTTTGAGGTAAAAATAGCGTTGAAGCAACGCATTTTGCCTTGTTTCAAGACAACCATTTTCTAGGTGCAGAAGGAAGAGCAGTAATGTAATTTTTCCTGCAAGACACTCCGGTGCTCCCGGAGCTCGGGCGATTGAGGCCGTCACTCCTCCTGGCATTGCTCTCCGCTGCTAGCTCTGTCTATGTCGCGGAAGCACCTTCCCTTCCCGCCCTGCACACAAACGAGTGAGGCCTGGCCTGACACCCCCAAGTGGTACCCCCGCGGGTGACCCCCCCAAGGCCAACGCAGTTGAGTCGTGTTCATGATACATAGCGAGCGCAGCACAATACGGACGAGATTTCCCGGTTTAACTTTGCAACAACGCAATTTTTTTACCGGGACACAACTACTCTTATTTTGTAGCAGCAGCTCGAGGTCGCCAGGATGGCGGTGGAACTTCAGCCTCCTGGACCGCTTTCTCGACCGGCTCGACCTCAACGGCCTCCGGCCGGGCTTCGAGATCATGGGCAACCCCCGGGTCGAGGGCGACGCCGAGACCTTGGGCGAGGCCAGGGCCGAGGCCGCGGCCACGAGTGGCGCCGCCGGCGCCCCGCCCGGCCAGGCTAAAGGCCAGGCGGGCCAGCCGCTCATTACCAACATTACCGACCAGGCACAGCTGTGGGCGAGGCTGGTGCGTGACACCATCGTCCACTGCGGAGGTAACAGACCAGCGACACGGGGGAGGCGGCGGGGGTGTCCCCAACCACCACCGTGTGGCCCTGCGGAGGCGTCGGCCGGCATCCCGAGCCGCCGCCGGCGGCCGCCCGCCCCCGCCACGAACTGAGTCACACATGATGACACATTTTTACCCTTAGAGCGCTACGGCCCTGGAGCGGTCGCCCGCTGGCGCTTCGAGACGTGGAACGAGCCCGACCTCGCGATGTACAACTCGTTCAACTGGACCGTGGACGGTGGGCGCGCCATCTCCGTCACAACATGACACTGCAAATTGAGTAAGGCCAACGTTTCTATTTTTCACGTTTGTTCGTGCCGTTTCAGGCTACATGGCGTACTTCAACGCGACGGTGCGCGGCGTGCGCGAGGCCCAGGAGATCCTGGGCGTGAAGCTGCGCCTCGGCGGTCCCGCCGGCATCTTCAAGGCGCGCCGGCGACACCCCATCTGCTGGCACGTCCTGGAGCACTGCGACCGGCTGGCGTCCCGCAACCTGAGGTGCGCGTCGGGGCCAGGCGGTTGGGGCGGCGTGCTGGATGAGTAGAGGGGCTGAAGGAACTGTTTTCAGCTGTGGCCTGGACTTCATCACTTTCCACCGGAAGGGCAACTCGACGGCGCGGGGGGTCAGCTCGGGGACGATGCGCCAGCTGCACCAGTTCAGCAGGATGTTCCCACACCTTCGCGACCTCCCCTTCGCCAACGAGTGAGTGGGTGGGTGGATGGACGCCCAGGGCACCAGGCTGATCTGGTCGATCAGTTGGCTTATGTACTATGTACAGTTCAGATTGGCTGATTATCCCCTCCCACTTCTGTAGTTATGCTGTACCGCACGCACGAGGTGCGAGTGGGTTGCTAACTCGCTCTGCCCGTAAGGCGCCGTGGGCGGGCAGGGGCGAGCCCGCCACGTGCGGTACAGCAAAACTACAGAAGTGCGCGGGGTTAATCAGCCACCTGGTATGGACTTCCAGCGAGGCGGACCCGCTGACGGGCTGGTGGCGCGTCGAGCCCTGGCGCGCGGACAGGCGATACGCCGGCATGGTCGTGAACACCGTCGTGGACCTCCAGGAGCACTGGAGGAGCCGGGGCGGAGTATCTCTGAAGAATGGGCATCGACAGCCGCCTCGCCTACCGCCCCTCGAGGTCCTGAGCAACGACAACGGCTTCCTGGAGACCACCCCGCGCCACTTCGAGCAGCGGACCTTGCTCTCCAGGTGACTTGTCCCCTACTTCACCACGCTCGCATCCTAGAAATGTGAATTGCAGATCACCGGTAGCTTGGTAGCGCATCCTTGTATACGGGTTTCTGCCTTTTTTCTTTCTTCTGAAACTCGAAGAGCTCTCATTGCCAGCTTTCGAGATGCCGGTGACGGCGGTTCCGGCCGAGGCTCCCTCCAGTTGTTTCGGAAGTCGGTCCTGACGTCCATGGCCATGCTGTCGTTCGTGGAGGGCGCCCAGCTCGCGGTGCAGTCCGACAGCCAGGTGAGGAGTGTCTCAGTGGTGCCCGCTGTCCGACTTTACGTGGACTAACTGGCCGAGGGCCTGACGCGGCAGCCCGCCCTGGACGCCCCGCTCCGCCTGGCCCCGCTGGCATCGATCGCCGCTGACCGCAGCGCGCTGAGCTTGCTGATCGCCTTCACCAACGAGACGGCGCCCGCCGACGACTCGGTGGTCGCGGGTGTCCACCTCTCCGTCCCCACCGCCGCCGCCGCGGCCCTCGGCGTCGCAGCCGCCGCCGATCCGCAGCAAGAAGGTAGAGAAGGTAGAGTCGGATTCAGATTAGCGGCTTCTTTGCGGCATAGAGTGAATAATTCCACATTCAGATTCATCCCGGGCGAAAGTTAGCCCGCACGAGCCGAGCCCGCCCAGCAGCCCGCGCGGCCCGGCGGAGCCCAAGTGGCGGCCCAGGCAGAAGAATAATGCGCTCTTAATTTCGTCTCGCGGCTCCCCTCGCCGCGCCGCCGCAATCCCGAGTGTCGTGACAAAAGCTAGGCAAAGCGGTGACGCTTCGTTAAAGCTGTCCCAAAGTTTCGGCGCCACGACCGTCCGCCGCTCCCGGCCGCTCCCCCCGTCCTCCCATTCAGCGCGGACCGCGCCTCCCGCTGTCCCGCATCGGCATAGTCGCGGTGATGGCTGATGTTGGTGGATCCGACAAAAATAAAAGGCACATCACAGAACGATGACGGAAAACAACGGGCGCGTTTTACTTTTAAGGAATTAATTACGTGAGGGCTCTGCGGATCCCACTTTGTCAAACAACTCTAGTTCGAGTTTGATTCCTCCGCCCCTTTTTCCTTCTTTTGAGGATCGTCCACACCCCTTTCTGTTTGTTTTTTTCGCAGCCACCGAAGCCGCCGCCACTTCCTCCACGCCGCGCCGCTTGCGGGGCCCAATCCTAGCTCGCGTCTCCTCCCTCGACGGGGACCCCAGCGCCGTCTGGCGCGCCGCGGGGTCGCCTCCCGCCCCGGACGGCGCTTTGCGCGACCGGATGCGTCGCGCAGAGGTATGGTGTGAGTGAATTTAAGTGTGTGTGTGTGTGTGTGTGTACTCGGGCTGAGCGATAAATAATGTTAGCCACCGTCGATCTCCTGGCAGCTCCCGGGAGTGAAGCTCATCCGCCAGTTCGCTGAGGGCGAAGGCGTCTCCCTCTCCTTCAACATGACCCTCGGCTGCATCGCGCTGGTCCAGATCTTCTCTCCTCAACGCCAACCTCCGCTGAGGGTAAACAGGCGCTGTCGCTCCAGATTGCTATCGCAGGGGAAAATGAAAACGAGTTTTAATTTTTTCTAAATCCGTGTAATTTTTTTATTTTTTCAGGTGCGGGGACTTCGCGCCATGAACGTCAGCTATAACGAGGTGTTTGTTCTTTGGGGCGAGGAGGTGTCTCAGAGTGGGTAGGTATAGAGGGGTGTGGGCTTTGGGTGGGACATCCAGCAAGTAAGCTCGCTATTCGCCGTTACCACACGAACCACGAACCTACCAATTTCAGGTTCTGCACGCTCTCATGGCGCCTGATAGGTAGGCAATATCTCGCCTGCAGTGCATGCGTGTACAGCGGGCTGGCCTACCCAACGTCTCGCAGGCGCCTAGCTCCCTCAATTTCCGAATAAATTTGAGGATAAAAGAATCTTGCTGTGCTTTCTGGACGACCCCTTTTCCGGTCGTAAATATGGAAGTCAGCATTCGGCAAAACAACCATCTGCTAATGTGCATCTGCGATATTGCAGGCAGGTGATTGGATACGAGGTCAGCTTCCGGCAAAACTATGAAGATCCCTTCCGAGTGATAAGCGCTCCAGCTGAGGTGGACGGCGGGCGCTGGCTGCTCTTCCCTTCCTTCCACTACGCCCCCGCCGCCCCCGCCGCCCCCATTGGATCCGCCCTCGGCGAGCAGACCAGAGGGCAGTACCGAGTGGCCGCCGTAGACGCGTGGGGTCGGGTGGGGCCCGCCGCCCTTCTACGGTACCCGACCCGCTCCGGCCCCATCAGATAGCGTCAGCCGCGAAGTTGGTCGGACAAAGTCAACGGAAAGTCGATTTAAAAGAGAAACGAAGGAAGGGAGTGGTGCGGCTGAAGCTCGTGTAACACAGCTGGAGCGGAGGAGGTCAGTCATGAGCTGGGCTGTCCTGGTGGGTTGATTACAGCCAATTTAAGGACTCTATAGCCAACCAGAGCTATCGAGTAAGCCAGTCGATGGGCCACCAATAAATTGAATGAATATTGTTATGGAACTGGACAATGTGTATTGCATTTCTGCAGGTTGTCCCATTCAAGGCAGGATTGTTGGATTCTCCCGCCACGAGTTTTAGTCAAATGCCTCGCTACGGCTGAGGCCCGCATCTACGAGTCTAGCCAAACTGTGCTGAGTCCAGAAACGCATCCCACTACTACCCTCATACTTTTATGCAAAAATGTCTATCACTTTGTGGGTAGGATTTTGGAGCAAGGAAACAGGTAAAAATAAAAGCACAAAACTGTGATGCAAAACTATCGTCTATAATACACTGACAACTGGTACAAGTCATTAATTATTCAACAGTTAAATCTCTCAACAAAGAAAACAAGAGAATATATCTTCCTCTCTTATGAAGAAAAAATAAGGATGGCTTGACTCCCAAATTAACATTTAAAAAGTTTTTCACCTTTCCCAAAGCATACATTAATTGAAGAAAAGTTAAAATAATTGCCCAACAAATTAATTACCAAATATTAAATATTGAGTGTCTCTAAGATTTGAAAAGCATATTCAAACGACTTAACAATGCAACAAACCACTGGTCAAAAATTGTGTGTGACACAGGAAGAAAAACAAGTATTATGACTCATGTCTGCTTTTGTGAGGAAAAAGTTAACTTTGATTGCAATCAATTGTACATCATACCTATACTGGTAATCCAAATTGGAAACCTCTGGTTTCAAATGGTTTAACTGAACTTAAAAATCATCCTCTGACTAAATGGCAACAATTAATTCACAACTGTAAAACAATAAGCTATACAAACAACCAAGATAAAAATGCCAACCAGTAAGTTTTAAAAACAGCTAGCATCACACTATCACTACCAAGTCCTACAATCATTGAAAACAACTGAAGATCAGAAATCCTCTGACCAGTTCCGTCTAAATGAAAGAGTTGCAATGCAAGGGCTATGAAAACATGATCAGATAGTACACAATGAAACTTTCAAAAAAAAGTCCGTCAGGCACAAGATCCCTTCAATTTGTAGACAAAAAAAAATTAAATTTTGAGGGATACAATTAAGAGCTGTATGTACGACTCAGCAAAACAAAGATGAGAAAACTTGGACAGTTTCACAAGAAACAATAAGAAGGCACTTCGCTGAAAAGGCGTTAACAGAAACATGGAAAAAAAAGAAAAGAAAAGGAATCTCAATTGATTCAAAACCAGATTGAAAAGCAAGGTCATATCTCTCACAAACAAATCAAAATTCATACATGACATATGACACAATCACATTCTGATCTTTAAACCACACCCTTTTCCAAACATCATTAAGATAACACAGTAGATGCAGAAAACAATGCTATGCCAACTTTGTCACCTAATATATACAATATCTTGTGACAGGCACCTGGAAAGGTACACATGTAAAATACTGACTGACAGTCACATCGTTTCAGTCACAAAGCAAAGCATCAAGCAATTGTTCCATCTTCAATCAGATCACATAACATGATAAAAAGGGGAAAACAAGTAAAAACATTACTGTGCTACAAAAGAGTTAGCACAATTCAGTTCTGGCTCAAGAGCTCAATCTCTATCCTTACTTCTGCAGTCCTATGTTTATGCTATCACACAAAGCATTCCTTCATACCACACATCACACAGCTTCTTTATCAAAACAGTCAAAGAGAAAGGGGTACACAGAAAACAATTACATTTTCACTGATTTCCTGATGTGCATGACAGAAACTAAAAAAAAGTGTTTATACACTTAAAATGATCTATTCTCACAGTGAAGATTGACTATTCAACAGTAAACAATACTGGAGTTCACACGGAAACTTGCTCACATGTAAGAAGAGTAAAGGTAACCAAAACAAAATTGCCACCACATCACTAACCCTGTAAAGACAAACTATCCTTTACCATCAGGTCATGGAACAGGCCATCAGTCAATGAAGTTCACAACAGATGTATGTACTTAGAACTCCTTACAAGCCGCCACACCATAATTATTAAATGAAATAAGGGAATCTTACTGATTGTAAGGAATATAAGGAAGGCAAAATGCCTGCTACCCCATATTGTATTTATAAATCTAATTTTAGTTGTTGAGCTCTACATTTTACTTCAATGTCAAAAGAGGTTATTGGGTTAGAAGTTAAAGATACACAAATATAAAATTAAGATACAAATTTTAAAAGAGAGCATCATTTACTTGAAACAACCACAAAATAGATTGAGTTGGCATGTAATTGCTGACAATTTAGTGTCTACAAATGAACCTAAGATTAACTTTTCATAAAGCCATTACATGAGAACATCATCCATGTGCCACACTTGTTTTGAAAAATGTATCAGATCGGGCAACAAATGATTGTTCAAAAGATGGAATGATACAACATAATAGGCAGATAAGGAACATCATACACAGACTACTGTGGTCTTTAAAAGCAGATAATAAAGCTACCACCATACAATTGATTAAAATATGTAATTCCCAGCAGTATACATAAAAAAAATACAGTTATTAAAATTGTTTACTTTTTGGCTAGTTGGTAGGTGCTACGTGGTGTATCAGCACCACACAAGATTCACAAAAATTTCATTAAATAATTGATAGTGACAAATATGAATGGTACTTCAACGGGCAAATTAAGGAACATAAGTTCAAAACTTTTTCCTCATTGGAAACAGAGGTCAATAATACTTTGAGACAGATTCTTAATGGTGTAAAACAAGACAATTCAATAATTAAATGCTATCTCAGTGTAATGATACAAAGGTAAATTTTGATTTTTAAAAACATACATACTGGAATCATTTTATACCACCAGGAGGTTATTCAAAGACAACTTTCATGTTCACTGATTGTAACAGCTAAAATTTGCTAAAAGGCTAGCCAGTTTATTGGTGACATAAGAGAAAATGGGAGGAATGAACTTAAAGTACTGGGTATCTATGCCACTAGTGTAAATACTGTACGAAGGATTTCTTTAAAAGCCAACCTTAGTATATTTAAATATGAAGCATTTAATGACCAGTGATGGTCCACAGAGCCAAACCGCTACAAATATGATAGCTGAATAGAAAACACTGAGAAAGCATCGAGAACATACTAAAGTCCTTGTTCCTGGTACAAAAGGTTGACAATTTAATTGCAACTTCTAAGAAGCCCATTGTGCCTTGGTCATAGTATAAATGATATGAAATTTTCATTGAACAGGAGAAAAATGCTGCCGCATGGGCACTACCATTAAAACATAATTGAGTTGTGAAACAATACAATGCTTTCAATCAAGATGCATTGAAAAAATATCACAATAAATGCACAAAACATAGTAGGCACCATATAGATCTAGACCTAATAGACCTTACATCATTTCCTAACACAGAAAGTTTCTAATCAAGTCATTTCACATCCCACACTTTGTTAATTTTTATCATTACCATGAGAACTGAAAAGTACAATGTAACTGAATTAATGTAACTTGCCCTGCCTTAATATTAGAAATATAATCAAATGAGCTGAAATTAGGCCCAACAAACCGGGCAAACACACACCATTAAAAAAGAAACACTTGGTACTGAAATACAAGATTAAATATATGTATCAAATACATTCTACTACCAGTTAGTCAGTAGTTACTGTCTGAAGTGATAACTGAAGGGAGGTAAGTTTTCATTAAAATTCATCTTTTTCCAATAATGCACAAACATTTAAAATTCAAAAAAGAGTGAGTGCTTTGACACATTTCATCAAACAATATGTATATACTCCTCCTTGTGGTACAACATAAACTGGCCCCCAATTTCCCCATTTCAAGTCATACTTGAGAAGTCATCAGTAAATTTTATAAGACCAGAAAAAATCTGAATACAACCCTATCCCTACTAAACTAAACAAGATACAATAACTTGAAGGAGGCAATCCTCCTCAGATATATAAAGGGGATACAATAGTACATGCTGGTTTTATTAGAGCAATTTTAAAATGCTTTCTATATGTTGGCTCCATTACTAAGCATGTGCACACAGTTTCACTTCCATGCTAAACAAAACTACTAAACAAGAAAGATATGGAAATCCTACAAAATTAATCTAAACAACATGTCTGCCTGATCCAACTGAGCAAGGTTAGCAAGAACAAAACACTAGAAGTACCAATCAAGACTTACACCTCCCACCTTAAATGTAATATCAGTTACTTTAGTGGTTAAGTTTGAAAAAGTAAAAACATAGAAAACTGGAGCAACTTTGTCTTGAGATAATCCGTCTTGTTTTAGTGTAAAGACATTCCACAGCTAAGAAACAGCTCACAACTCATCTGTCCTCAATAGGCATGGACTGAAAACAAGATGGCTTCCTCCAGGCACATTTAAACATGATACAATGCTTGTGACAGAGTGACGAAAGTTGCCAAAGCTTGACATGGCATTAAATAAACCCTGTGATAATAAAAAGTTTAAACATTCAATTACACTAAGAGTTTAATCACAACACTTCTCAAAAACCCTTTTAGAAACTTAAAATATCATTAGTGATAGCATTTGGTAACAAGAGTTGATGACATAATGAAATGAATGAGAATGGAATCGAGACTATCTTCAATTTAAGATCAAGTTCACTGAAATCAATTCTTTGAGTACTCTTCATAAAAAATAACAATTCTGCTTTGATAAAGCAGTATAACAGCATTGGCAGTGTAGCAAACAAAAAAAATCAACCCTTGTCTTGATCAGGCAATACATTAACAAGTAATCAAGAGGACACCAGCTAAGACTTAAGTTACAATTGAGCTCAACAGGAAAAAAATTCTGAATATGTTGAGCAAAACTCTAACAACTAGACCAAAGTGGGAGCTCAGCTGGGTATACCTCTGATCATAATAATCTGACAAACAAGTGAAATCACAAATCCTCATTCCTGAGTAAAACTGAGAAGACACTGCATTAATAATGGTACCGATAACATTGCACAATAGATAAGACTTAAGAAAAATTCCTCCACGGAGAAGCTAAGAAAAATCAATATTGGTACCAAGTCAGTCATTGTACTACAGTCAACTAAACTAGGTACTAGAGCTAGAAGAGGGCCAAATCTATGTCTACTTAGTCTCACCCCCCCAATATTCACTGGAAGATATCTAAGAACTGGAGTGAGACTAGAGCCACTCGCTTTTATAAGCACCTAACATTACTAACATTATAATAAAAGAACTATATGTTGGTATGGCTTCATGCTCAGATCCCAACAGAACCACTCCAATAAGACAGACTTAAAACTCCACACACCTTTCAAATAAAATTCTTGTACAATATATCAGGGTGGTTTGATCACAGATTAAAGAACAGAAAAGCAAACTAGATTGGTTTGGACAGAGCAAGCCCACAACTGCCAAACTAAGATGAACATGATGATAAAACGTCAGACTGATTCCACAAAATTACACAACATAAGCAACACAGAAAATTAATAGTAATTGGCAGTGTGGTGCATTTACTTAACAGATCAGCTCTTTGGTCCCCAACCATTTTGTAAAACCAATAAGATAGGCTTAAACCCAATATTTGATGAAGTAGTACTGTTCTGTGAAAGGTTCAGAGCATGAAAAACACACAGCCTGTGACTTGGTACCAACCTATTCCAATATGTCACAATAAGAGAATCACTACAACACACATTTGTCACTTAATTCAAATCCCAACAATAACACAAAATCACATTAAAGTAAGCAGTGACAGCTAAATCAGAGACCTGAAGACAAAATTGAAGCAAATCCTACTCCACATCAAAAAAATGGTTCACCAACCATAGTATTTCATAAAACCTACAAACACCATTAAAGTGAGCTATTTAGTGATTTAATAAAAATGAAAACAAGGGGCTGTGCTAATAAGTTTGGCTTACATTGATTCCTGGATATAGTCCAGAGGATATTAACAGAATACGTTGGTTGTGTGAGGGTTAGAAAATTAAACAGTCATGTCAACACTATCACCTTCCATAGAAAACACATCCAGTCTGCCACTTACACAAGGACAATAAAAAATAATAAAGAAAAGAAAAAAAAAGGAAACTGTTAATTAAAATAACCCACTCAAAAGCAAGGTGTTCTGCTAATAACTAGTTCCAACACTCATCGAATAAGTGAGGTTGAACAGAGATACAATCACATAAAGAAATGAAGATCTTTAAACTTTAAGAGTTGGCTTGTGGGGTGACCAGTGGTACCGGTTGGGATGAGCAGATCGAGGTGGAGAGCGGATCATGTAAGGAGGTGGTGATGCAGGCATCCATGGGTGAGGAGGGATCATGTTGTACCATGATTGAAGAGGATGCTGATATGCGGGGCCTGGTGGCCACATTTTGCGCCCACCAGACTTTGATCCTTGTTTTGGGCTGTTCTGATTGCGGGACCGATTGTGATTGTTGTTAGCCTGAGCGGCATTGGAATTTGATGAATTGCTGGTGCGTTGATTGGCATTACCACCAACAGAAGCAGAGGAGGCAGAAGAGGCACCCTAGAAAGAAGACATAAGGTATTAAAGCTTGAGTTCATAAGAGAGCATGTTCACAGAAGCCTCTAATGTCATACCTTAATTTTGGTATCCTTAACAGATGACTGCACTGTTGTGCTGACTGGGGTCTGGGGAGATGAAGTAGGCTGTGATAGAGGAGGAGATGATGCCTGAGGAGATTTGGCAGGAACAGGAGTCTTCTCAGCACTTGCAGGGGTATCCAACTTCACTTCAGGAGGACAGTTCTCAACAACCAGCTTAACTTTACTGTCTTGACCAGGAAACGATGCCAAGGTACAATAAGAACCTTTATGCTCCCCAAACCTGAAAGGGAAAATAAAACTTAAAATCCCAGACAGTGAAATCATTTGAAGGCCTATTTGCACATCATAAACAAAGGGCAACACCATATTCAGTCCCTAAGATTTAACAAGTCAAATAACTTCACTTTTTTTATCTAGTAATACAGTCAGCAGTAAATTTTAACAATTTAGCTGTTGATAGACACTTTTTGTGCAAGATTCACATGGCCTGAAAAAAGTTCCACCACTAGCACTGGAATTCTACAAGTGAGCTCTTCATAATGGAATTGGCTACTTTGCCAAAATCCACAATATGAACCCCTCACGCTAAATATTTAGAAACATTAATCTGAACAGCAGCAGGTTTAAAGTAGAAATAGTTTTAACTAGGAGCAGAAATTCAGTCAGGGACTCTAAATACACTTAAGAAAAGACACTAGAACTTGTACTTAAGGAGTGTATGTATCATACAGAAAAAGCATTTTTACTGACAGTTAAATGCATCTTTTTGTTAAATACTACGTTTCAAAATAGACTATTCTGATTTAAATTCAGCTAAGACTTACCTGCAGCATACTTCTTTAGGGTCAACCCAGATTGTCAGCTCAACAGGAAGCTTCAAGTCCTCGTACTTTAATCCACAGGCCATGGCTGCTCGCTCCAGAATAGCATCTCGTCGGCTGCATTCATTTACTCTAATGCAGCGGTAACCCTGGCCCTTGCATGGCTTTTCAGGAAACCAGTGATTCTCAAATCGTTGCATAAGAAGGTCAGACAAGTGAGTCTTGAATCCTTCCAGCTGGGCTTGATTGCATTTGTCACTTCTCTCGATAATGCGTACTAAAAACAGCACAGCGGCTGATATCTCGTCTCTCATTGTAAAGCAGATGGTTATATTTAAAGTACAAATCTGAATTCAAAGCCAACCTTAAATTGGCACACATAAGTAAGGTCAGCCAATCAAAGTAGAATATTGGCTGCACTTGGCATAAACGCTGAGATTTCGAAGGAGCCGCACTGATACTAGTTAACACAATTAAATGAACTATTCTAAAATTACAAAAATTAGATGAAAACACTGAAGGGCCTTCGGATTCTGTTTTTCTTCAGAAGCGAGGTTATGTTGCGAACTGGGACCAAGAACGTGCTGTGCCAGCAGGCTCATGAACTATCTGCGCACAAACAAACACACGAGTCAGGAATCGGAAAAAGGTGAAGATATTTCAGCTAAAGACACAATTCAAATGAAACTGAAGTTAACTAACAACGCACAAGTCGCGAAAACAAATGTAAATATTGCACCATGCCACCTCATTCAACATTAGCAGCAGGCTGCTGCAGGTCTGGACATGTTCAGACGAGTATACACAAAGAGGCCCCCCAGTGGGAGTCCAATGTTAGACGGGAAACACACAGCACCCCACGTCTAACAACGGAGAACTGACTATTGCGACCTACCCCACTTCAATAACAAACAATACGACTTTGTTTTCATCACCAAATTTAAACATACCAAAATCCCACAGATGAACTTGCAAATTGCAACGTGAAAGGCGAAACAAATGACATGCTGAACTAGAAACCGACGATACAAATATGGCGGAAGGACACGACACATACGGCCAGGGTTTTCGAAAACTTATTTCTGTAGAATAAGGTCACTTCTTTCCTTTGTAATGGAAATGAGAGAAACTCAGAAATAATACAGGAATTGATGCGTTCTACCTCTACATAACAGACAAAATCACGAAATACTCAAAAGGCGTTCGTGTGGCACCCGGCACCAAGAGCGCGCGAAAGGTGAATGACTTTGAACAGCGCCCCTGGTGGTAGCCTTCGAAACGAGCGAAGTATTGAGATCCCCCAACAGATGGCAGCACAACAACGTTACACAAGGTCGCTGCCCCTGGCAGCGGGAAACATGAAACATGGAGGAGGAAGCCGCCGCGCTTAACTCAAGCTCAACTTGATGTGGCCGAAAACCATCAATAATCAAAAAACAAAAAGTAGGAAAGCAATAATTTATCGTGCAAATTTGTTCTTTTGAAGTTTTTTTTTTTTAATGTCAACAACCTCAACTTGTTGATTAGCTCCACCCACATACGTACCTTATATTTCAGTGGATTGAAGCGAAATAGTCATAAATAAAGAAGGAAACTCCTTTTTGTGACGCGTTCCATTTTCTCAGCACCAAGATAATTGAGTTTGCTAGCAGGTTTGAAGATCCATAGAAGATACATAGAATCGAGGATGTCACGTCCAACTCTTTTCCCGAACAACATCGCTTATCGCACAGGGGTCGGGAGACCAACTCGAGAGATCATGTGAGATGCTTTGCCGTATGTAGATCAAGGGCGTTATTCGAGCGGACCACTCCTCCGACCCGGACCGGACTTCCTTCCGACCGGTGCAGCGTGGGTTCGAATGCCGGCTTCGGGAGCCTTTCCAGGTTTCTTTCCTTTTTCTGGTCTCTTTCTCTGCAGGGAGCAGGGCAGCGGAGAGGGGCGCGGAAGGGCGTGGCGAGGAGTGGCGTTGTTTCATGTAGCCGGGTGGAGGACTGTGAGGCGTGTGGCCTTGCTCTTGCCCCCGTGCATCCCCGCAGAAAGAAACATGCGGTTCTCTCTGCATCCCCACACTCGGCACGGGACTCCGTCTGCTGCTCTGCAAGCCAGCAGCAAACTGCGTGAGGCTAGAGAAGGCAGGGAAGTACGGCAGGGGCAGGGCTGGAGGCAGAGAAGAGAGTCTAGCGCCGGTAGGAAGGCAACAGTCACACTTCGCCGCTTGGCGGGACGGCCCACCCACCAGGCGGCCTAGCGCCAGCAAAGCGACGTACGCACCCCGCCCCGCGCCCCTGGCCCCCGTCCAAGGCTCTGCGCTCCACGCCGAGGGATGCATCACTTTGTCTTGCCCATGTAGTCCAATGTACAGTACCCGGCCCCCACCAGTCATTTTTCCAGTCGTTTCCAGTTATTTTCCCTGTTGTTAGATTTTCGGTCGCATCCACACACCAACCAATGAATTTATAGTGGTGCAGGAACATATGCTGAGGCAAGATTAATAGCGAATATTGTTTTGAATTCGTGCAGAGCTATGTTCAATAAATAGATACTCCTATAAAAAAAACAAAATTTCGGCATTTAAAATGCTGCAATTTTATGCACAGCCGAAATGCTTTAACGGGTTCGTTTTCTAGTCACAGTTGGTGAAGTTCAGGTCGCGTATGTTGGCCTTACAGACAGAACTGACACTGATGCACCAAGGGTTCATTTGCTTCTTGAAAGTATGCAACTAACAAGTGCATGTTAGTGAAAAAGTGCCTCTTGGCCTTTTGGCAAGGCGTTAGTGCAGTTACACCTTTGTTTTCCCAACGTGTTCAACTCCGTAAGTTGTTTTCCCTAACAAGTATATCCCCCCCTCTCTTCTCCACGCCATTTTCATGTGTTTTCCGTCCGCAGGTCTCTGGTCCTGCCCGCCTGCCTCCCCC